AAGGTGGTATCAAAATAAAAAAAACTTATCAGTCATAATTAAAGTCTGCTTTGTGAGTATAATAAACCATTTCTTAAAACATGCCCCCAGATTTTTATTTATACATGAGTCTACTCTCAAACACTGGTGTGCCACTTGTTAAAATAATTCTGAAAATGTATATTGAAGATAGTGTAATTAGGGGAAGTGTCTTGTTATATGGGAGTATAACTAGAGATCAGCAGGGGTGACACGTTTCTTAATGAAACCCTTCATAATGACCAGACTGCAAAGAGAGTTTGAGAGGAATAAAATATAAAGTCACTAGGCTGCTGAAAACATCTGATCATCAAGCCTGCTGACTTCCATTGTTCTTTTCAGAATAAAACAGGTTGAACATATGGTTTTATTTTTGTAATATTGATACCTAACTTAAAATATGTTGTATTCTGAATAAATAAGCCATATACTCTATATATTTCTTTCTACTGATATGCCTGTATTGATTGATTGTATAACTTGTTTTAGTGATAAGATAATACAAAGTTATGAAAAATACAGCCCACTTTCCACATATGAATTACAGTATTTATGGACATTCATTAAATGCATGTAAAGTTCAAAAATGTGTCAGGGTTAGGAGATTAAATCACTTTTTGAAATTGAAGATTTAATAGATTTTAATGCCTCTATTTTCCAGAAATGGTATCCAAAATTATTAGTGTGCAGTGATGGTGGTTTACACTCAGCTGCAGTCTAAAAACTGGGCACACTGTTAGAGAAGTTCTCATGATTGACATTTATGTACTTTTATTAAATTTGCAACATCTTGGACTTGACCTGATGTACAATTTTATTGGAACTGATGTAAGTGAGGTAGCAGACAGTCTGGATAAAGCTGCACTGAACAAAGTTGATAATAGTGTCCTAGACATTGATTTGGGTAGAACAGAAGCAAAATCATTTATCCATCACAACATAATGACATCATGGCAGGACATATGGGATAAGGAGAGTAAAGGTAGAGGGTATTTTAAAATTCAAAAATCTTTTTGAGTGAGAAACAATATAAAAAATTATAAAATCAAAGAAGTTATTTTTCTCTAGACTGAGATTAGCACACATAGGACTTAATTCAACATTATTCGTTATGGGAAAAGCAGGTTCTGATAAATGTAGTACTTGTAATTGCAAAGGAATAGTAGAACATATATTGTTTGGGTGTAGGAGATACAATCTATTGAAAGAGAATGTTTGAAGGGGGTGGGTTTGGGTAGGGGATGGAATATTAACGGCCTGCTGGAGATAGGGGATAACCAGCCATTGGTACAGACGGAAATATTTAAATATGTAAAGGAGCCAGGGTTTATGTGTAGAATATAATCTACTCCGGTGCATTAGGTGGCAGCATAAGCCTTTTAAGTTGGTCTATAGCCTGCCATTAACTGAGGAAGAAGAAGGGAAAAGAAAAAGAAAACGGGAAAAGAAGAAGGAGAAGGAATAAATAAATAAAAATAAATAAAATGATAAGAGTAAATAAAAATAAGGTAAAGGAGAAGAGAATAAAAAACAAAAAAGAAAGGAGAGGAAACTGTCGCCTCTCTTTTCCACATCGAGGGGAAGTGGCAGATGACCTGTGAACCAATCAGAGGCGTCGATACTAATATGACGTAGCAGGTCCTGTTTTCGATCTGGACTCGATAGCATACGTTAGCCAAGTTGGCGGGCATAGTTTTGGCAAGCAGAAAGTCTGTGGAAATAAACATACGATTTATTTGACTACTTGGGATTTGTTTGCCTTGCTAGTAACGTTATAAAACAGCATGCGGGCTTTTCTTATTGTTTAGTGTTTTTCTCACTTAGCAAAGTGAAATCGCTAGCGACCTAATGCTAACGCTAGCTAACTCCAACGCCTTATTTAAATGATCCATCTTGGTGGGGCTTTATCCCGCTTTGTTGTCACGTCAAACGGCTCATAAGCAACAGGTCCGCGTGTGTGAGTATATTATAATCTGTGGCAGTGGCGAGCTTTCTTTGTTAACGAAAGATTTTATGTTTTTTTTTATCATACTGTTTGGACAATCTTATGGCACTGTTTACTTTCGTTTACAAGTTTTTGAAAGTGGCTGTGTTATCGACACTTGGTTTTATTTTTCCCTTAAATAACAGACACCATAATTTTAATATTAAATAGCTCATTGGCTAACCCATGACTGAAGCAACAGCATTAGGGTATCGTGGCCGTATTAAATAGCAGGATATATGTGATTAGATTTTTAATATTGCTTACTCATGATTTATTCAGATAACGCTAGCTTCAGATTTAACACACTGTTAATAGTTATAGTTTTTGTTTGTCTTGCATTGAGACATTGTTGTTTTATGAAAATGAAAAAACAAGTATAGTAGAAAAACGTTTTGGTGAACTTCAAAGTCAGGTACCAAAAATCATTTTTGTCCAAAGTGTCGTTATTGTATTAAAAAATGAAAAACTGTGGTGTTACTGGTTCTGGTTCTTCCAGTTTTCCCCAGATGATAAAACATTTGCTGTAATATATATTTGAGATAATTCTCTTGGCAACCCTGCAGATTTTAGCCCATCACTGTTAGTGTTACCAGCCTGGGGCTTCCAGTAATCAGAACTGCTATCACATGTTTTCACTGGGCCACTGGAAATGTCTCCTACTTGATGTCCAGGTTACAACAATCTGATCCTCATGTGACATGCTGCACTTTTAGTTTCAACATTCTACCTCTTGTTATTTTCCAAAGCAGAAAGGGCCGACATTTTTGATGGCGGTGGCTCCTGCCTCGATGGCGGATAAGATCATAGAACTTGATGAGGATGGAGAGGAAAGTCCTCGTCCGCCCTGCGCCACCCCCACCTCGTCTTCTGAACATCAAGCCAAAAATGTCTCTCCACTCAAAGCTCAGCAGCCGCCCCCCACCCACATTACCCAGTCCCCTTTTGCTTCAGCGAAGAAACACACACATGTTCTGCAGGCAGAGAATCAGAGGATGTTCTCTGAGGTGAGCTTACATTGAGGGAGTAATAACTGATTATTTTCATTACAGATGTTTTAAAGAAAAGATGCAGAAAAAGATGAGAAGATGATGCGCTTGCATAACAAAAGTCAAGCTTGGGACAAATGTACATGGCCACTCCAAAGTAGCTGTGCTAGTTTCTCACCATGGTGACACTGGTGATACTGTGGAAATTGGTAAAGACACTAATAAAAAGTTGTCTTCTGGAAAAAGATTTCAGATAGATAGATAGATATAATTGTTGATATTTTATTAAGCTGGATTTTGCCATGAAGCCTGTTCCACTGTCCTGAAACCCTTCTACTTGTTATTGCATGGATGTTTTACTCAGTCCTTGGCCTGCTGAAAGTTTTGTTATACCAGAGACTTGTAATTATATTGACAGTACATTGAAACCAGGTCTGAACACAGCATGCTGTTGCTGTTTGTATTGGCATTATTTCTGTCCTTTGACTTTCCTCTGTCACCCCACACTGATCCTTTACCTACCACACTTACCATTTTGCCTCCTGTCTTCTGTTCAGTTCGTGGAGCACTGCTCAGCCTACACCCACGACTGCCCAGAGGTGCTGACGTTTCTCCAAACCAAGCATGACAAGGCCTTCCCCGACTTTCTGTCTTCTGTGGAGTTTAGGAACATCTTAGGACACTGTTTGACTCGCGCTCAGGCCAACCGCTCTAAAACATTTGTCTACATCAATGAACTGTGCACTGTGCTAAGGAAGCATGCTGCCAAGAAGAGGCAGACCCTCGCTGAGGTCAAGCCTGGGTCTTCTACCTCAGCATCCAGTACTTCCCAAGCTACCTCTGCTATGCTCAAAAGTAAAGACAAGGCTGAAGGTAAGAAGGATGAGGAGGAGGAGAAAGAGGTGAAGCCAACGGCAGAGGAGGAGAAACCTTCCACCTCAGGGCTGCAGGAGGAGCAGGAAGCAGAGAAGAAGACAGAGAGAGCAGCCAGGAAACAGGTTAGTGTTGAACACTAGAAGGCTTGACTAGTTTTGTTGTTGGCTGATAATGACCTTCAAGTAAATCAGCTGCTCATTATAACTATTAGAGATATATGTTGCTGCATTGTTTATGGAGTTCTTTGATATGAAAGTAGAAGAGAAAATGACTTTGAAGCTAAAAAGTATGAATGATAAAAGCAGATATGAGCATTAATAAAGGTAATAAACATCTGTAAATAGCATTATTAATATTACCAACTATTCAAGTTAGTGAATAAAGCTGTAATGAGGTAGGGTTATATAAAGGGAGGTTTCAACAACTCCTAAACTCACTCAGTCTAGGAAATGTGCTTATACAGTATTAGATTTTGATCAGTCTTATAAAGCTCCACTGCTTTAAGTACAGCTCTACAGTGTGATTATCAACATTTGGCAGAGATTTCATGAAGTTGTGCTTGCTTATGTATTTTAAATGTGTTGACTTTGACTTGATTTTTTTTTTTACATAACTGGATGTTGTGTTTACTGTAGTGTGTTATTTTTATATATTTACTTAATCTCAGTGAGGCTTCACCTGGTTAAATAAAGGATAAATAATATTTTCTTTCACATTCAGCTTTGACCCGAAGTCACAGACGAACCAAACTGTAGCACTTCACTAAACCATTAACCGGTCACAACTCATTCTCGTATTAAACTAGCCAATCAAATGTATTTCTTGTCTCCATACACATTGAAATGGAAGTATTTTTCTGCTCCCTCCTTTTTCTTTTCACTGTTGAGATACTACTTGTGAAAATATGCACAAACAACCTAAACGTCTAATCAGAAGTCTGTGTAGAGAGCTGTGCCTGACTCGGCATGTCTGTTAATTTCTCTCAGATAGCGTACCTGGAGAACCTGCTCAAGGTGTACAACGACGAGATCTGTCGTCTGCAGCGGGCTGAGCTCAGCCTAGACGACCTGAAAACTGAGGACTCTCTGTACATCCAGGAGCAAAAGCTCAAACGCAAGGTCAGGCTGGAGTGTGTGAGACGTGTTCTTTTATATTGAAATGAAAAGACTAATATAAAGATATTTCACAGTGTGAAATTTATTATGCATTAATGTATCAAAATAAGCATGTGCACATGGATCTTCACTCTTTAGGATAAACAGAAAAGACTGACTCCAACTTGGCGGTATACAATATTTGTATGAAAAGATGTTACTATCTGATTGGTCCAAAACTGTTGGGGAGAAGTTGTGGTTTAAACTTAACTCTCCCAAGATTGGTCCTTCAATCCGTCCATCCTTCAATCATCCTCTCTGCTCCAATGGTCGTGGACAGCGCCCTAAAAAGGGAGGAATACCTATACCGTCTTAATTCCTACATAGACACTTATGTCTTCCTTTGTTTCCAAGGAACTGCTACATTTTAGGCATTGCTCTCCTGTTCCAATAAAACTGCTCTGCCTGTGTGTGTGTGTATATTGCTTCCTCTTCCTGGGCTCAGATCTAATCTCTGTTTCAACTGTTCAAAGAATCCCAATAAACTATAGCTCCCCCGGCCCATCAGCCAGGTGGTGGTAATAAATTAACTGTGGACCCTCTTTGCCAAAGCTGTAAATCTAATGACATTCAGTGTTTTAGTGAACCAGTCTCCTTGATGTTAACCAGTGCTCCAGTTGGCTAACATTATAAATATTGACCAGTGATTCAGTGAACACATAGGGTGATATGTAACTACATAAACATAAACACAACTGTGAGATTAAAATATATATAAACTTATGTATGCTATATAATAAAAACCCTAACTAATTATTCATTTCTATCTAAAATGAAAATCACTCTAACAAGTGTGACTGGGGTTCCACCCATAAACAGGGCTGTGGTTACACATTAAAGGTGTAAAAGAACTGCTACCCCAGGTTGTGTTACAGATGGTCACACCTCTCTGCCCCACCTGCTTTTTCTCTTCCAGATGATGAAGATTTATGAAAAGCTGTGTGAACTAAAGGGCTGCAAGACGCTAACAGGCCGAGTCATCGAGCAGAGGATCATCTACAACCGTACCCGTTATCCTGAGATCAACAGGAGGGTGAGCTGCCTCTTTAAATGGTTTTAGAGGTGGAAAGCAGTGAGCTGGGTAAATCTTGTTTGCATTAGTGTGACTGGGTCAACATGTGTTGTTTAATCTGGGTCCAGTTCTCAACTTGGTTTCTGGAAGTTATAAGAAGTTATACTGATTATATACATCTATATAATTTCTCTGTGGTTATTGAAATCTAATAACAATCCCACACTAGAGAATAGTAATGACCTCTGACCTTCTCAGGCCTACACTGAGCTCTTCCTGGTGCAGAGAAGTACTTTTACATGGATTAACCCTCCACAACATATAAAATAACTCTAGACTAACTGGACTAACATGTTGAATCTAAAAACACAACGGCAAACACACCCTGAAAAACATTTGTGTGTCATATTAACTTAATAGTTTTGAATCAGGCCCTTCAGTATATGGATCAAGTAGCCATATTTAGTGATCTACAGCTGTTATTACACTTTGTCAGATACATATTTAATCAATGTTTAGGTAACTATAAGAACCAGCAGTGATCTGATGCTAAAGGGCTGGCCTGTACCTAGTACAAACAGTGATAGGAAAAGTAGGAATGTAAGTTTTGCATTTCTCCAAAACAAACACATGCAAAAACAAAGTTACATGAAACAAATCAGACACAGCTTTGGGTCTGGGTTTGGACTGTGGTTAGGCTGCTTCATTTGGTAGAACTGTGTTTTAATGTGTTGCTATGTTCCTCTGTCCTGTCAGATCCAACGCTTCATCAACAGTCCCGAGGCACAGAGGAACCCCCCGGACTACCAGGACATCCTGCACCAGGTGCTGCGCGCTAATGAGCGGCACAACCTGTGTCTGAGCAGAAAACAGCTGAACCAGATCGCCCAGGAGGCCTTCAGAGAGACCGGGATCGAAATGCAGAAGAGACGTCACAAGGACCTGGTGTACAACTTTGGCTCATATCTCACTGACAGCTACCAGCTTAGTAAGACTTCAGACTGAAGCTACAGCTTGTTGTGCCGCCCATTTTTAATATACGCAGCCTACTTGACATCAGAGAGTAACATTAGACAAACGTTTGCAGTAACCTAACCACTGTAATACAACGCGCATGTAATCTTAGATTTTTATATCATTTTTAATAAAATCATTTTCAAACTTAGGGAGTGTTTTACAAATTCCCTTTAACTGAAATGCATTCATTTCCACTATTTTTTCCTCAAATGTGCACAATCCTCAGGTCATCTTCTAACACTTAAACTGTCATAGTGTTGTTGTTTTTGAATATATAAAACATGATTTGTACTGATTTGAGATCCACCACTTCTCCCAGTTTTAGAGCCTTCTAATAAAATAGCTCAGAAGTCTTTACAGCTGTGTATCATATAAAAGTTGAGCTCCAAAATGTAGCGGTACTGTTGCTGGAAATCCACTAACCTTCTGCCACTTGCTTTCTTTTTTCGCCCACGCTCCATGTCTTTACTGTTCTCATAATCTTTGCCTTTGGTCCCCTGACTGCTCCCACTCCTGTTCTGACTTTTCTCTCTTTTCTCCACCTTCCTCTAAAGCTGCAGACCCGGCTCTGACAGATCCCTCACTGCTGCGAAAGCTGCGATCGAACAGAGAATTGGCTCTGACCCGGCTGGAGGAGGTCATCACCGTGTACGCCATGAGGCAGGAGGACGTGGAGGAGCAGGAGAGGAGGAAACGCCTGGACAAAGACAGCAAAGAGAAAGAGGTGTGAGCATCAGGTGGCTTCTGCTTTCAGCGGGAAACGAATGTGCTAGGTGACACATCGTCCTGTCAGCACATGAACTGGTGGCAGAATCTAGTAAAACACCAGAACGCTCAGCTGCATTCCTTCTCACCAGTACTGTTTAAATGATATGAAAATAAGATGCAGCATTACACCCCTTGATCCACCTGTACAGTCTAATGCAAACCAACACAGCTGCCTACAGTGCTCAGTTTGTTGGTTACTGTTGTAGATGTGTTAGTATGTTTTAGCATCGAGGACGTAGTGATGGGTTTGTTCACTGACATCGAGGACGTAGTGATGGGTTTGTTCATGACTGCATTGTACTGCTAGGTGTTCCTAATGTTCTGCCCCCCTCATGCATGTGCACAGGGAGGACTACTACTTAGAAACACCTCCCGAATTAATGAAGTCCAACACAACACTACCTTTAACTGTGAGCTCAGTGTTAAACATGTAATTAAATGGATGTATTTCCAACAGTGTTAACACAAATTGAAGATGAAAAACTTGTATGAGCTGAATTTATGGCAGAGCTCGTTTTGATTTGCAATAGTACAGGTGTACCTAATATAGTGGCCACTGAGTGTGTAGTTGCTTGAGGATGACTATCTCACAGCCAGTTTTTGTACATGTCAGGAATAAATGGAAACCAGTGGCAGAAAAACACATCAGGGGTAAAATAACGTTTTGTGGAAAATGCTCGGCTGTAACGTGACTAAGTGTCTCAACTTATGGGACCAACAGTAGATCTTCCCTCCTTGTCTTCTGCTCCTGTCTGACCCTTGCACGTCTTCTCTCAGGAGGAAAGTAAAGAGGTGAATGGTGTGGCAGAGGAGGAGGACGAAGAGGATGAGGAAGATGAATCTTCTGACCCAGACATAGAGGAGGAGATCCAAGCCAGCACTCGGCAGGATGGACCAGGTATGTAATCAGCGAGGCGGTTGTTTAAAGCATCGTCTAGTTAACACAGAGACGAGCTGAGTTGGGCTCAGAAGGTGATTGATCACTGACCAGACCAGGATGGCAGAGAGATGCTGTGTCATTGTATTAATGCCCCTCTTTCTATAGATGATGACGACAATGGTGAGAAGGTGGAAGATGATGGTAACGAGGTGGAGCAAGCGGGAGACGGCGCCAACAAGGAGGATCAGACAGACGGACTGTCAGGAAGTGTTTCTGCAGGGGAGGAAGGAAACAACAAGGATGAGGAGGAAGAGCCCATCACTAGTGAACTCAGCCCCCTTTCTGATGGAAGAGAGTCCCTGAACTCTTTCCTGTCTGAAATCCCCTCCCCCAGAGAGAGCCCCAGTCAGTCAGAGCCCGTGCAGGCTGATAACCAGCAGCCACTGTTTAATGGTAACGCCGCAGGACTCGAGGAGCCCATGGACTCCTCCAGTCACGCTTCAGTCGTGCAGGTGAGCACTAGCAAAGTCTCTGAAGGCCCTGCAGACGTCCCCCCTGTAGCAGCCAACGGGATGTCATGGGCTGTGTCACCAACAGTGGCCAAAGAAACATGTGACACAGAGATGACCAACGGCACATCGCCGCCGCCCAGCCCCCGAGCCACGAGGAGTCAGAAGAGGAAGAGGGAGGAAATGGCAGGAAACTCCCCCAATGCAAAGCACAAAATCACCCATAGCAGGTACTGTGACACATGGAGAACAAATCAAGTTGGTTTAACTGAGCCTGGGACTCCACAGCCAAGAAATAGCAACGCCACAGTGTAACTATTCATATAAACGTTTACACTTGTAGACTTAAAGTAATGTTGTGTATTATTGTATCAGTAAAGTTGTTTAACCACGTATTTCCCCTTCTCCCCCTCTGATCGCAGCGAAGTCGACATCCCTCTGGACATGGGCGTTATCTGCTACAGCCCTCTGCAGCAGACAGAGTCCACCCGAGCCGACTCCCCGAACCAGGAACTGGTCAGCAGCTCGCAGTCGACGCCGCCTCCCAAGAAAAACAAGGTGGGGGTGGAGATGATGCACAACTCTTTTCTGGATTCACAGAAGAGTTTGGGTGCATATCAGGACTTTTATAACATTCTCAGATATTCAGTTCACATCAAATCTGTTGAAATAGAAATGAACATCTAATATAGCAACGCCACAGTGTAATTAAAATATTGTGTCTTTATATTTTGATTTCTCCGTGTTCTTTGTTTTATTAGTCAAACAGGAAGTGGGCTGTACGGTCGGGTGCAAATGTTTGGATCAGTGAGATTTGTTGATCTTGTTAAAGTGAAAGGAAATAAATACAAAAGTGATTCGCAGAAAAAGTGGAATGGTCTCTAAATCAGGAATAGAAAGACTTAGCTGATACAGAGAGTGTGTATGGGGTGGGGGGGTGTTACTAGGTATTGACTTTAGCCCATGGCGCATTTATCATTTTTACAGTTTTTTTAATTTCTACGTTTCAAGTTTATTATGTAAAAGATAATAGTGCATTAATACTTGAAGAAAGGTTGTTTTTACATCTTTTCTCATTTTCATGAATCAGATTTTTACCCCCAGAATCTTTTCATCCACTTTCACCTGTTGAACTTTCAGAATAGTTGGTGATAGCTCTGTTTTGCTTTGTGCGTTTTCCTGACCATGCCTCTGTTTGTGTCTCCAGGTGAACGTGGCGACCCAGTGCGACCCAGATGAGATCATTGTCTTGTCAGACTCAGAATGACCTCTGACCCTCTCACCTGTACTCTGGGAAGCAGGAAGCACATTTCCACAGAGCCTCCTCCGCTGGCTCGTAAGAAGACGAATGAGCTGAATCTTTTTTTTCCAAGATTTTTAAATTTCTGAAATTATTGATTGAAACCATCAATATCAAGTGTTTTTACAGTGAAACAACAGGCGCTCACAGCTGTGACACACTCCACTGGCAACAACATGTTTTTGTAAGGCACTCCAATAAAAAGCATTTACAGGGAAATCAAATCAAACAGGACTTTGTTTTTTTTATCCTGGGCGGCCTGTTCCACTGTGTGCACCAGCTGTCATTTTGTCTGAGCACGGAGACGCTGGTACCGACCTCTGCCCTCCCTGTGTGAGGGCAGTAGAGGAACCCAACCGGCCAGAGGTGGCTCCTGCCTGTCAGTGCAACTCTACCGTCCCAGTCGGTCGCTAGCAGCTCCGAAGTTTTTTGCTGCTCTGGACACGGAGCTGAAACCATTCTCTTGGGGTTGACCTGACCCCTGAGCTTTAGTGAGTGAGTGAGTGAGCTTTAGGTGCCTGAAAACATGAACTGTGCAGTCGGACGCTGGGCCCAGACAGTGGCTTCTGTTTCCGCAGACGCTGTGCTGGCGAGGGCTGAGCCAGCCGGTTTACATTTTTATATTTCACATGCATTATGTTCTGATAGAGGAGAGAGAGGCGCTGGTTTGGGATGATGTAGTTTTTTATGGTGTGAGCAAGCTGTGTTCTGTTTGTGCTCTGTATGGACTGCAGCAGCAGTTGACACTGATATTTACATTTTTTCCCATTGTTTCCTCTCCAGACATGCCTGTGTTCAGGCTTGTCTGGAGCAAGGTATGTTTTTCATTCACAGCTGTGTTTGCTGAAGGACCACTGAGTCCAGGAAACTGTTGGTGTGAAGGGCAAAGCACAGATGAGAGCGGAAGCAGTTTAACTTGTCTTACTGTCAACAAATCTCTGTAATGAGCTGTTCCTACTCTGACTTGTCATAGTAGGACAAACACAGGTGTTACATTAACTCCTTTACCACTGGCTCCCAGTCACAGCCACAGAATAAACACACACCGTGGGTTTATTCTTTTAATACTTATTTCTACACCTTCTTCTATTAAAGCACCAAATGTGTATTAATCTGCTGCTGAAAATAGTCCTCAGCAAACACCACTTGCTTCCGTTTGAAGACCTTTTGCTAAAAACTACAGCATCCAGCTGCTGTTTGTGACTCATTTTTACAGATTTGTGTTTTCAGTCAGAACCAGTGGGTGTAGAACTGAGAGCCACAGGCACAGGACTCAGAAATGAATACAGTTTTTATTACAGATGGACTAACTCATTGGTTTGTTGACAGTAAGAATAATATATACTGCCAGTCCATAAATCTGACATGTCTCAAAGCAGAACACACAGGAAGTGTCTCCATTATTCAGCCTGTATTAAGCCCGCTGGGCTCAAGCGGTCCTCTGAAACCAGAACTTACTGCAGTGTGTTTCATCCAGATCCAGACAAAGGTCAAACACGTGTTGAGATAAATGATTTTAGGAATCCTAAACACCTGAGTCTGATTTAAAAACTGCCTCATAAGATTTATTTTCCTAAAAAATTCACTTTCATAAAATCCTAATCTTTTATTTTCCAGAGTGCAGCTTGTACATGTTTGTGTCCTGTTGATGCACTGGGTATTTAGATCAACTTAAACCATTAGAGTGGAGTTTTCTACACCCCTGTTATATTTAGAATCAAGTTTATTTTTTCTAGTGGTTATGAACAGATAAGATCTCCAGCATTGGAGCTGTCCCTGTATAACGGAGCACTAGTGTGCCGGTAGAAGTCTGGGCCCTTAGGTGAAGGGGAAACTGTCTGAAAAACAATCCCTGTGCTTGTTTCCCCTCCTGAATCACACACAGGTGACGTTACATTTTGGGGTAAATGCTCTTTTTAAAGTGACTAAAGGTCGACCTGTCGGGCCTCGTTTATGCAGGAGAGATCATTCACTGTGAAGTTCTCATTTTTGATAATGGAAATAAATGATACATTTTGTTTTACACTGCCTGTGTGTTGCTCATTGGGATTTTTTCTTGTTGTTGAAGTATATTTTATTCAGTTTGAGAGAGTGTGTGGATACATTCTTGTTTTACAACCGTTGGTCTCCTCAGCTCCACTGTTTGAACCAACAAAGCTCAGTTAGTTGTTTTAGCTACAGATGTGTTGTTCCCATCCACAGCATTGGTATCAGCGTAGATACTGGCTTTATTTAGAGAGTGGAGTTTGTTCCTTCAGTCACAGTGGTGGCCACCAGCTCTGTCCCCTGTCTCACCTTCAATGCAGATGTTCCTAATGAGGTACACAGATGTTAGATCTGGGCAGAACAGAGCACTGGTGTTGTACCAGCAGATACCATGTGGCCTTTTAGTAACTAATTTTAAATCAGTATCGATGCTGCAGCGGTCTCTGGGTGTTGAGGTATTTAGACTCTACAGCAGCACTTTCACCTGAGCAGACATAAACCTGGTCAGACTTTGAAAGCAGTATCTACTGAGTTCTGACGGGTCAGTACTTAGTTTTATTTCTATGTTGATTATTTAAATAGTTAAAACATTTCAGTTCTTCATTTAAAAACCTGACATACTGTAGCCTGGAGTTTCTAAATGTGCACATTTAGTCTTTTTAAAGAAACACTTCTGCCTCTTAATTTTCTCAGAGTAGGAGAGGAACAGGTGGACCTACAGTGGGCAAATAAGTATTTGATACACCGCCGATTTTTCTAGTTTTCCCCACTTACAAAGAATGGACAGATCTGTCATTTTCATCGTAGGTACACCTCAACTGTGAGAGACAGAAT